ATGCCATAGACTATTTCAAGGACAACTACGTTGCATTTAATTCACCCGACGACATAACATATTTTTGTCTAGCTATGTATAAATTTAAATTATTCCGTTATTATGTGTTTGAAATCAAAGAGCAACTTTAACGCAATTAACGTCTTATGGCGTTATTATTATTATTCCTATAGTACATACTTATTTGCGCACAGTAGCTTAAATGTCAATTAAAAATACTAAATTCTACTTTTTTTTAAGCTTTTAAATGTTCAGTTACGTATATGGTTACAACGAATGAATATGCAAATTATTATTTGAGTATGCATATAATTAAATATCACCTGCAGACTGAGTCATGGAAGCTGTCATATTTTCCATAATAGTATCAAAAGCTAGTCTGGATATTTACATGTAACATTATTTTCACACATATTGGGCGCATATTGTTAAGTTATTATTTTGCAGACCAATCATTACTCAATTCGTCTCTACAATGTGCATCATTGGTAATATACAAAGACTGAACGAAGATAATACAGCAAAGCAATGACGCACATATCATATCATATCGTTAACATGTAAATGGTCGTATCTTATTCGATCGTACTGCGTCATAATTTACTATTTTGAAATAATCTCTTTGTCTCTTAAAATAAAGTTTCAACAAACAGACAATATCGTGTACTTAGTCGGCTAGATAATATACCCAAGAGGCAACGTGTTGTGACAGTAATGAAACCTCTTGAGTAAGATAAGGAAGTTGACACGAATGTTTAATTATTACTAGTATAGTCCGGTTGTTATTTGAACGATAGTGCACCAGAGAGAACATGCTGGACATATGTCTATGTTAACCCAAGCGACTGGAGGAATTAATTTCTCATATTAGCAAAACATCGTCTACTCCGATCCGATCAGTTTGTTAATAGTCTCTTCAAACTGAGAAAATGAGATCTCGTATTTTATATTTCAACGTAACGTTTGGTATAGTATCGTTATCGCGTCTCCAAATTTGATTTATATTCTTAAATATGTGACGTATGCTATTTTACCACTGTCTTCAAAGTAGATAAACGTCGTTTAGAAAATTTATGCAACACAGTGCTTCTATTTCATAAACTGGGTACGGGGTTAATGCCAATAAGCTAAATTTTATAGACTACTCTATCGATCGCTAAGTTGTTTAATTCAATGGTTGTTACTAGTACTCTAACAAACAACCGTAGGGATCGTAAGTTCACAGTTTTTCACAGTTTGTATTAATGACTTTTTTTGTATTTAAAACATATTTTTTGGGGGGCCATACTTTCAAAGTTTACATAACATATACAGATGCCTGGTAATTACTACTAATACAATGACATTACAGTGCTCTTTGTGAAGGGATATACACAATGAATTTCAAGAATTTACCCCACTTCTTGATGTGAGAGTTCAACATGTTTCTCCTGGAGGCAATGTTATATTCTATCTCTTGGAAGTATTGAACATACCTTTTATAAGCAATAAAATGTAATTTTTGTTTTCTATACCAACACTGATATATATACTTCTTAATCACCAAGATAAGGGAGTTTAACAGACAATGGTAGTCTTCGTCACCCAACAAAATTTGTTTAGAGTCGGAAAATCAATGTAGATTAATTTATTACGGCATAGCATAAAGAATGATTCCAAAAACTTTCTCACATCCATGCATTCATAAAACATGTGTAACTATAGGAGGTGTCATGTTATATAGAGTTTTATATTGTGTGTTATTTGAAACTAAAA